AAGAAGGGAAAGTTTAAAGCTCAATTGAGGTGAGGATTGACATCTAATTGCTTACAACTTGTAGGTTAAGCATGAGATTACCTAAATGCTTAAATCATTATTTTTCATGAATTATGATGGTTATATATTGGTGAAATATTGATATAGTTGACAAAGGATGAAATTTGAAATGATTTGAGAATGTATGAATATTATGAGATTAAATGAGTATAAATGAACTATTTTTGTGAAATAGGCATTTTGCTCATGTATGAATTATGTGGTTACATAAATGAATATTTGTGTATTGAGATTGAATACTTAAGTTGCTGCTACATAATTATAATTATGTAGAGAATTACAAATAATGAGGATAATGGTATGATAACAATAATCTTAATAGTATTGAAATACTAGTTAGTGATTATTGGGACTTGTTGATTAAATTGATCCTAGGGATTGGATTGTATGAAAGATACTTGAATGTAGTTCAAGTGTATCTAATAACTTAGTAAGGAACTAAGGTTAAGTTATGGGAAGTCTTTAAGGATGACCCATGATAGTTTAATGATATGTCAATTCTAGGCATAGGGTTGCTTGAGAGTTGGACCTTAATGCATGGTGATGTGATAGAGCCGAGCTCTAGAATGCATGTAAGGTGTAGACTTGGAGTCTATGTATTGTATAGCTAGAGCCGAGCTCTAGGACTTGCGTGGTGATGTGATAGAGCCGAGCTCTAGAACGCAAGGTAGGGAAATTGACCCGAGGTATATGAATTGTATGGTGATGTGGTAGAGCCGAGCTCTAGAATACAATGTCATGTACTAGGGTTGGACTCTAGGAGTTGTCGTGGCTTATAGTCACGAGGTTGGGAATGGTGATTTTCCAAATGAACATGGGCCCACGGGCCGGCTACTTGACTTTTATAAAAAGTAAGTATATTTTTAAACGGGGTAACTTAGGGTTACAACCATAATGTACTATCACCCTATTTGAGGGTCTTGTGTTTGAAATACTTGTTGTATATCTATTAGATGTCTGCCACACCAGTACTTTATAGCCGTATAGAGTACTGACCCCTTCGGGGGCGTCCCACCACCATTTCAGGTTGAGGCTTGAGCTTACATCCTGCGCTTGTTGATCGGGTGAATCCGTGGAGAGAAGACTTGGTTCGTGCTTCCTCCATTCTATTTGAAACATTAACAAAATTGCTCATGGATATTTTATTATAGAGCCTGCGTGCTCATGAATAGCCCTGTGTGGCCCTTTCGTTTTAAACAATGTTTTCCGCTGCTTTATGAATTACTTATTATGTTGTTTATGGATGACTTATGTGTGAATGATATTCATGACGCCTTGTATAATATGAATGTGTTGGACTGCGGTTGACTATTCGTATTGTACGGCGGGTTGTTGACGTGTCCGGGGAGGTCCGGGGCGTGACAATTAAGTTGGTATCAGAGCCTTAGTCCATAAACTGCATAGTGAAGTCTCAAAATTCTCTTTTCAAAATGATATTGAAAACCATGAGCATAGAAGTTTTGTACTTGGAGAGCTTTTGGTACTTGGGTTGCAAGGTCTCTAATTGTTAAGATGGTACCCTTAGCAATTGGTATGGCGGTGACTCGAGCCAAAATGTGTCTTAAGTACCTATCCGTCAATTGACATTTGATACGAGTCTAACGACTCTTTCCAAATTTCTTTCAGAGATGGACCGTGGTGGCAGGATTACTAGGAGAAACCCGACGGGCCGTGTACCAGTGGAGACTGGACAGGGCAGTCGAAGGACCTCTAGGGCATCTAGAGGAGCTGGCCGTGGAGGCCGATCACAGACCGTGAGTGACGGTCATGTGGACACAGAAAGTGAAACCTACTGGTCCTATGAGGACTCGACTTACCAACCGGAAACCGAGCCGGTTGAGACCCCTTACGAAGGGGATGACGATGATGTAAGTGATGAAGAGGGGGAGAATGACTCCCTAGCAAGAATTGAGGCGCTGCTCCAACAATATCAACGGGAGCGCGAGGAAAGGAGGCAACGCCGAAGACGCCGAGCGGGGCAACCTTCGGGCATGGCTTCGAGAGGAGGAAGTCATGGTGCATCTAGAGTCCATGTGGAACCACATGGAGGCCAAAATGATGGGGGTCCAACCATAAGGATCTCCAAATTTATCAAAGAAGCAAGAGATTTGGGGTGCAAACCCTTTGATGGAGCAGGGGACATTTCAGTTGCAGCACAATGGATCAAGAGGCTAAATGAAGCAGCCCTTGACATGCAAATCGCGCCAAATCTCAAACTGAGAATTGCGGTAAGATTGCTCGAGGGGATGGCATCCAAGTGGTGGGATGGAACCAAGAGCAAGTACGGTGAGACCGTCGTTTGGGAGGACTTCCAACGGGAGTTCTTTGCCCAATATTATTCTGATTTTGAGGTGAACAAGAAGGTGAGGGAATACACCCTCCTAACCCAAGGAGGTAACATGACAGTGAAGGAACTTGAGTACAAGTTCCGGGATCTCGCCGACTACATACCGGAGTATGCTTGTGACGAGAACCGAATGGTAAACCACTTTTGGGATGCTCTTGACTTGGAGATACGTGATAGGGCAACACAATTGCCTAATATGACCTTCGCCCAAGTGGTTGACCAAGCGTTGAAGGGGGAGAAACAGTGGGAGGAGAGGAAGAAGAGAGACGCCGAGGAGGCGAAAAAGAGAAAATGGGAGAGTCATGGCTCCCAAGGTTCCAACAAAAAGGGGAAGCATGGAGGAGGATCTTTCCGGGCACCACCGCCACCGTCTAGGGGGAATCAAGGCCCGAGTGGGCAAGGCTCGAGGTCACAAACCTCGGTGGTAACTCGTTGCAACAATTGCAAGAGGAACCACTCCGGTAAATGTCGCGACCCCCCTAGATGTTTTCAATGCGGGGATGCCGGGCATTTGAAGGCGCATTGCCCACAATTGGGTGGGACAAGGACATCGGGACCGAGCAGTGGCCCGACGGGTACACGGAATCAAACCGGAGCTTCTCAAGCGAGCCGGGGACATGGGGGAGCGAGTACGAGCAACGCGCCATCCGTGAATCAAGGAAGAACTCAAGCTAGAGTTTATGCGATGACGGAGGCGGATGCTCGAGCTAACCCGGACTCGGTTGCAGGTATTGCCTCTTGCACAGTTGTATTTTGTCCATATTTAGTCCATAAATTGATGACATAAGTCATAGGGATTGAGTGCGAGCAGTTCCGGGGTCAAAACGACAAAATCCGGGCCAAGACTGACCAAAAACAGGGACGCACGATCGTGCGTCCAACCCCACGCACGATCGTGCGTGGGGGACAGTGGTTCCAGGTGAATTTCGCGCAGGACGCACGACCGTGCGTGCCGGTACGCACGCCGTGCGTGGACGCACGATCGTGCGTGTCCGGGTACGCACGACCGTGCGTAACCGGCAGTAGCCGGAAGCGAGCTTTTTCATGCACGCACGACCGTGCGTGTCCCACGCACGACCGTGCGTGGACCCCAGCCGCCCGAAACCTAAGTTTTTCATCTCGTTCTTCTACGATTGGACCCCCGTTTGATTCTGAACATTTATATGAACCTATTAACCTCCAAAAAGGTGTCCTAAACCATTAGAAAAGGTATCTTACATGGTGTATAAATGTAGGAACATTAAAGATTAATGGGAAGGATGCACGAATCCTTATCGATACCGGAGCGCAACGTTCGTTCGTGAGTGAGACGTTCGCCGAGGACTTAGGGGTACAATCCATACCAATGACGCACACATTAGTGGTATCAACACCACTAGGGGATGACGTTGAAAGAACGAGTTACTATCCATCTTGTGAGGTGGAAATTGATGGCCAAACCTTGACGTGTGATTTCGTACCGCTGAGTATGATGGAGTTCGATGCAATCCTAGGGATGGATTGGCTAGAAAAGCATCATGCTAGGGTAGATTGCTACACAAAGGTTTTGGAACTCGAAGGCAATAATGGGGACACCCTACGCTTCGAGGGGGATCGAGGCAAATCAAACAGTTGTATTATCTCCGCCGTGAGAGCGAGAAGTATGATGAGAAAGGGATGCCACGCATATCTAGCATACGTGGTTGACAAAACCAAGGAGGAAACGAACATTGACGACGTGAGGGTGGTTTGCAAGTACCCGGATGTCTTCCCTAAAGACCTACCGGGGCTTCCACCTGATAGGGAGATTGAATTTGTGATCGAGGTCGAGCCTGGTACCAAACCAATCTCCATACCGCCATACCGTATGGCACCCGCTGAACTTAACGAGTTGAAAACCCAATTGCAGGAGCTTTTGGATAATGGTTTCATTAGACCCAGCCACTCCCCGTGGGGAGCACCAGTTCTTTTTGTGAAAAAGAAAGATGGGACACTCCGAATGTGCATTGACTATCGTCAACTGAACAAGGTCACAATCAAGAATAGGTATCCTTTGCCTAGGATTGATGACTTATTTGACCAACTACGAGGAGCAACCGTGTTTTCAAAGATTGACTTGAGGTCGGGGTACCACCAACTGAAGATTAAGGAAGACGACATACCAAAGAGTGCTTTCCGCACAAGGTATGGGCATTTTGAGTTCCTTGTTATGTCGTTTGGGTTAACAAACGCCCCAGCGGCATTCATGGACTTGATGAACCGAGTATTCCATAAATACTTGGATCGATTCGTGATTGTGTTCATCGATGACATCTTGATTTACTCAAAGAGTGAAGAAGAGCACGAAGAGCACTTGATACTTGTTCTTGAGACACTACGGGAGAAGCAACTCTATGCCAAATTTTCTAAATGTGAATTTTGGCTAAAGGAGATTGGCTTCCTCGGGCACGTGGTTTCAGGATCGGGAATTGCTGTTGATAACAAGAAGATAGAAGCCATTACTTAATGGGAGAGGCCAAAGAACGTCAAGGAAATTCGTAGTTTCCTTGGATTGGCAGGCTACTACAGAAAGTTCGTGGAGAAGTTCTCTGTTTTGGCATCGCCATTGACGAAGCTCACTCGAAAGGGAGCTAAGTTTGTATGGAATGACAAATGTGAGAAAGGATTCATGGAATTAAAGAAGAGATTGACTGAGGCACCGGTACTTGCATTACCCAAACAAGGTGTGGGGTACGATGTCTATAGCGATGCGAGCATCCAAGGGCTTGGATGTGTACTGATGCAGAACGGGAGGGTAATCGCCTATGCTTCACGACAATTGAAGAAGCATGAGGTGAATTATCCTACTCATGATTTGGAGCTGGGGGCAGTGGTGTTTGCACTGAAGATTTGGAGACATTATCTCTACGGAGAGACATGTCACATATATACTGATCATAAGAGCTTGAAGTACGTGTTTACTCAGAAAGAGTTAAACATGAGACAGAGACGGTGGATGGAGTTGATAAAGGACTACCATCTAGTTATTGAGTACCATCCAGGCAAGGCAAACGTTGTAGCAGATGCCCTTAGTCGGAAGAGTTCGTCTGGGGCATTGTTGACTTGTTTGAGAGCACTGAGGGCCCAATTGGATGTATCTAACGACGGTGCTTTATTGGCACGATTCGAAGTGAGACCGACCTTACTTGATGAGATCAAGAAGGGTCAAGAGACTGACGCAGAACTGATGAAGGTCCGGGAACGCATGCAAGCGGGACCGGTGGAGGATTTCAGGGAAAGGGATGATGGTCTCTTGTTATTTCGTGACCGAGTGTGTGTGCCGTCAGACGATGAGCTCCGAAAGTCCATCTTAGAGGAGGCTCATTCATCGGCTTATGCCATGCACCCGGGGGGCACGAAAATGTACCGTGATTTGAAAGAAAGTTACTGGTGGTCTGGAATGAAGAGGGAAATAGCCGAGTACATCAGTCGATGCCTTACTTGCCAACAAGTAAGGCAGAACATCAGCATCCAGCAGGCTTGTTACAACCACTTTCCATTCCTGAGTGGAAGTGGGAACATGTGACTATGGATTTCGTGGTGGGTTTACCACGGACGATTCGGAACTATGATGCAGTTTGGGTTGTTGTGGATAGGCTCACGAAGAGTGCACACTTTTTGCCTATCAATACTACCTACCCACTTGAGAGGTTAGCCAAATTATATACGGATGAGATCGTGAGGCTGCATGGGGTCCCAGTGACCATTGTATCCGATAGAGACCCACGATTCACATCACGTTTTTGGCCGAAATTTCAGGAGTCTATGGGAACGAGGTTGAAGTTCAGTACTGCTTTCCACCCACAGACGGATGGGCAGTCTGAAAGAGTCATACAGATCTTAGAAGACATGCTGAGGGCTTGTGCGTTGGAGTTCCAAGGAAGTTGGGACAACCACTTAGCACTTGTGGAATTTGCCTATAACAACAGTTATCAGGCAAGCATCGATATGCCTCCATACGAGGCATTGTATGGAAGGAGGTGCCGTACACCGTTATGCTGGGACGAGGTTGGCATGGCCAAACTCGAGGGTACTGAGTTGGTTGAGGTCACCAAATCAAAGGTGAAGTTGATTCGAGAGAGACTCAAAGCGGCTCAGGATAGACAAAAGAGTTATGCAGATAAGCGTCGAAGAACCTTGGAGTTTAAGGTTGACGACGAGGTATTCTTGAAAGTTTCTCCTTGGAAAGGGATCATTCGATTCCAAACCCGAGGAAAACTTAACCCACGATATATAGGTCCATTCAGAATTATAGAGAGGATTGGGGCCGTAGCATATCGTCTACAGTTGACTCCTGAGTTAGAGAAGATACATAATGTGTTTCATGTATCCATGCTTAAGAAGTATGTGCATGATCCCTCTCACGTATTGGAGAAGCCACCTGTAGAGGTACGTGAGGATTTGAACTACGCTGTTCAACCTATCAAGGTCACCGATAGAAAGGTGAAGAAACTGAGGAGCAAGGAAGTCCCAATGGTTAAAGTCCTGTGGAAGAGCGATCGGGTCGAGGAAGAGACATGGGAAACAGAGGCTTTGATGAGGAAGCAGTATGCTTTCCTATTCGAGTAGAGCTGTGAATTTCGGGGACGAAATTCCTGTTAAGGGGGGGTGAACTTGTGACACCGCACCCGAACGTCCTTGAAAATTCGATTTAAAAATTTAACATTTATGTATTGAATTTTCGATTGCCAAACAATTGTAAAACGATTAATGTTTTACGTAGTGCATGACTGAATATCGTACTGTTCAAACTCGTATGATAGTGTCGGGTTTGCAACCACTTTTCGGGACTTATTAATAAATAAAAGAGCTCAACATTATCTAAATAAGTGATCGAATGATTAAAGAAGAATACCAATGCCTACAACCCTATCTTTGGCATTTTTGAGCTAAATAATAGAAGTAGGATTTTCCTTCTATAATATCCATCAAGTAAATTATTGGGATGAGCCTACACATATTGGAGATCAATAATGTTATTTAGGAAGTTGACTTGTTCTAAATAAATTAGGATGAGTACAAAAGGACATCTTTGACAAAGATAAAACAATAGGACCCATCTTCCCATTTTTGGAAGTATTGGTAGATATTTTGGACCTCAAATTGATTGGGATCAATTGGGGGGCATCCCATGTGGCTTGAGTACCTGCAAGACAAGTAAAATGTGTGAGAAGACTCACCTTGGCCGCACCACATGGAGGAGCATTGCCCATGACACAATTGGGATCAAATTTTGGGGTCACCACCACTGTTTTCGCACAAACAGGTGTGCTGTTTTGTCTCCCTTCATGAGTGAGGTTATACTCGGCCAAATGAGGTTTATAAGGTGTCCTTGGATAGATTTTGAAGTCTATTTTTATAATTGAGTGGTCTCTGTTCGAGAGGAGAGAGCAATCATCCAAAAATAGATCTGGAACGAGCAGTGGTCTGTGAACTCGAGCTGTGAGAGTGCTGAGACTGTTTGGTTGATATCTCGAGTTTTACCAATCCAATTAAGGCGTGTGAGATACCAAAAGAAAGCTCTCAAGACGAGGAATCCGTGAAGGTCTGGTTTGCATCAATCGGAGTTGTGGAAGACTTCCAAATCGCCCGAGCAAAACACAACCTCGCAGGAGAGGATTTAATCTTCTAAAGTGAGTTCTAACCCCAAAACTTTACTTTTCATTCTCCAAATGATATGAACGATTGGTGGGACTATTATACACTAATCCAAGTGTATAATATGTCCTTATAAAGTTATTTTATGTGTGTAAAGGTTGGATACTAACCTAGAGCAAATCTTGGAAAACTAGGAAACGGGTTAACCGGAAAACACCCATTCTAGGGGCTGTTTTCGTATCAACGATTAAGGGTTGAACTAGCACCTTGAGGAGGCTGTTTAACACTCATATTTGAGCAAGGAATTAGTTCCAAATCCACCTTGACCAAAGCTTTGACCATTGGACCAAGAAGGGAAAGTTTAAAGCTCAATTGAGGTGAGGATTGACATCTAATTGCTTACAACTTGTAGGTTAAGCATGAGATTACCTAAATGCTTAAATCATTATTTTTCATGAATTATGATGGTTATATATTGGTGAAATATTGATATAGTTGACAAAGGATGAAATTTGAAATGATTTGAGAATGTATGAATATTATGAGATTAAATGAGTATAAATGAACTATTTTTGTGAAATAGGCATTTTGCTCATGTATGAATTATGTGGTTACATAAATGAATATTTGTGTATTGAGATTGAATACTTAAGTTGCTGCTACATAATTATAATTATGTAGAGAATTACAAATAATGAGGATAATGGTATGATAACAATAATCTTAATAGTATTGAAATACTAGTTAGTGATTATTGGGACTTGTTGATTAAATTGATCCTAGGGATTGGATTGTATGAAAGATACTTGAATGTAGTTCAAGTGTATCTAATAACTTAGTAAGGAACTAAGGTTAAGTTATGGGAAGTCTTTAAGGATGACCCATGATAGTTTAATGATATGTCAATTCTAGGCATAGGGTTGCTTGAGAGTTGGACCTTAATGCATGGTGATGTGATAGAGCCGAGCTCTAGAATGCATGTAAGGTGTAGACTTGGAGTCTATGTATTGTATAGCTAGAGCCGAGCTCTAGGACTTGCGTGGTGATGTGATAGAGCCGAGCTCTAGAACGCAAGGTAGGGAAATTGACCCGAGGTATATGAATTGTATGGTGATGTGGTAGAGCCGAGCTCTAGAATACAATGTCATGTACTAGGGTTGGACTCTAGGAGTTGTCGTGGCTTATAGTCACGAGGTTGGGAATGGTGATTTTCCAAATGAACATGGGCCCACGGGCCGGCTACTTGACTTTTATAAAAAGTAAGTATATTTTTAAACGGGGTAACTTAGGGTTACAACCATAATGTACTATCACCCTATTTGAGGGTCTTGTGTTTGAAATACTTGTTGTATATCTATTAGATGCCTGCCACACCAGTACTTTATAGCCGTATAGAGTACTGACCCCTTCGGGGGCGTCCCACCACCATTTCAGGTTGAGGCTTGAGCTTACATCCTGCGCTTGTTGATCGGGTGAATCCGTGGAGAGAAGACTTGGTTCGTGCTTCCTCCATTCTATTTGAAACATTAACAAAATTGCTCATGGATATTTTATTATAGAGCCTGCGTGCTCATGAATAGCCCTGTGTGGCCCTTTCGTTTTAAACAATGTTTTCCGCTGCTTTATGAATTACTTATTATGTTGTTTATGGATGACTTATGTGTGAATGATATTCATGACGCCTTGTATAATATGAATGTGTTGGACTGCGGTTGACTATTCGTATTGTACGGCGGGTTGTTGACGTGTCCGGGGAGGTCCGGGGCGTGACAGGGAGTTTGTAATGTTTCTATAATTTTGGTTAATTCAGTTTTAAGGATATTTTCTGCAGAAATAAAGTTTAAAGTTTAAAGTTTTATGTACTCTTACAGTTATATTATTGATCTCAAGGTGGACCAGTTGGAAATAGACATTCTATTCCAGACCACACTTCATGTTATTTCCACGCTACACACCTATACTTGATTCATGTCGTTTATTATATTAATATATGTGATCATTGATGGGTCTAGTTATGTGAATATAACAAAGACTTCTTTGGTCCTATGTTGATATAATTAATGGACCGGATTGTTTAAAGATGACTACAGTTTGATAGCAAAATTCTGGAGCTCCTAAAGTAAACATACAATAGTACAATACTAAGGATTGTGTATACATATGTGTATGTCGTCCAAGTGGGAGATTGTTAGATTATTGGACTTATACTACATATGATATTCACAATATATTATTTATTTGGTTAATTGTATGTTTTATGCTATCTTATATTTAGCCCAAAGTTAGTGGTTCTACGGATATTAATTTAAGTGGGCTAATAAGTTATCTAATAAGGTATAGGGCCCGATTGTGTAGAAACCCATGGGCTTAACCTAATTAATGATGGGCTGATTAGGGTTAATCATTCTCTATAAATAGAGGGGTTATGGTCCCTAGTTGAACACGTCATTCCGTCTTTCTGCATCCCATCGCTAGAGAGATAATTCCCGAGGGTGTGTATCAACTAGAAGATCCAAACCCTAGCCTCCGTCTCCCGGATCTCCAAAGATCATCTCCAATGGAGTCAGGTACGCTTCCGCTCAAGTTAATTCTCTAGATAATTCCAATATGAAGATTAAAGTATTTATGGATTTATTCCAACAAATTAACCTAGGGGTTGTTTGATACATGTCTGCTCTTAATGATATAATAGTCATTACAGTAGTGCTTCTATAGTTACAATGCAGTTAATGTACTGTAGTATAATTCAAATATTGCCAGCTGTAGATTCATGTGGTTTCCATTAGTGATGTTAATCAAACTAGATGACATATGGTTGAGGGCATGTTTTGTTCAGTTTCTTGAATTGTACTTTCCAATAGCAGCTTGCTTGACATTTTAGCTTATTACTCCGTATGTAATAGAATTTAGGCCCTCTTAATTATCTCCTAAAAAATTCTTGTTCAGAATGGTCATTGAAACTTTGCTTTTCATGTGTGGTTCACCTTAAAAAGTGGATTTGAAATTAATGCTATAACATTGACACACTTTGGATAAATGTATACTGGACACTCCAGTTTCGGTGCCTAATCCTTTTAGTAACAGTTTTAGTATTTTAATGTGTCTCGCACCGTGTTGTATCAATTTTAGTATTGTAATGTGATATATCTGGTCATATTCAACAGCCTGCACGGTGGTAATAATTATGCAAAAGAAGCAGATATTGTTTATACCATATTGTAAAAAAGATGGCGTGTCACCGGGGAAAGTGGTCGGAAATTTTATGGGTGAACGATGGAAAGTACGTGAATCTCAACTATGTATGTGGGTTTCTTAATAGCGTTCAGGGATAAATAATTTGTTGAAATTCGATTTATTATTATGGGAAGTACTTGATGTTTTGAAAAGAATGTATTTTGGGGAATATTACTAATGATATGCTTTGATGTTTTGATTTTATAAATTGGTGTAGGACGAACTAGGATGCAAATTCTTTGCTTGGGCAGAAGAAAGTGGAATAAAAGGAAAAGCTTCACAAAGATGGAGGTGGTTATAAAGGTGCTCCATTTAATATGACGAACAGCGTTTCCTTAATATGGCATTTAAGTTGCTCCATTTACAACTTCAAATTTGACCTATAACTTGCTACATTTACAACATAAACTCGTGCATTTACAGGTTGAATATGGTATTTAACTTAGCTACATTTACAGTTTTAACTTACTGCATTTAGAGCCTTGATATGGCCTTTAACTTGCTGCATTTACAGGTAGGGATCTGGCCATTACAAAATAAAAATCGTCATGAAACTATTTTGAACACACAAAAAGTAGCAGAAAAAATGTGCATAATAAGTGATGGTAAAAATTAGAGATAAGGGTAGCTAATGGCATCATATTTAAGGATGATGACCAACTGGTTGCAATGCGTTTGAGATCGACTAATTCTAACTTTATTAAAAGCAATATATTCAGGGCATTCAGCCACCCGATTAACACTAGCATTGTTAGATCTGAAAACAAAACGTTTGAAGTAGTATTGGCTTCTTATTCGTGTGCAGCTTTTTCCATGGGTCTAATGGTGCAATATCTCTCCTCGAAGAGCAGCACATACCTGCAAGTTATCCGGCTCAATGATAAAATGAGTTGTTGGAAGTTGATCAAAAAAATGTTGAAATAAATAATGACATCATAAAGGGCGTCAGTCGGCTCCTTAGTGGGACGAAGATGACTAGTGTGCCTTTTGTAGTAACCATTGGAATCTCTAGCAATAAAACTCGATCTCACAATATTAGTTTGGACAATTCTAGTAGCAATATTGACTTTAATAGTTACAATTTCGTGAATTCTCTATGGTTATGCTTTAATACATTTTTCTATTCTTCAATTTATCTAAAGTTACATTTCAGTTTTTCTATTCATTTAAAATTGTCAATACTCTTTGCGATGCACATGGAAGTGAAAATGTTTGTTGATTTGGGTTGCACATGGCCACATAGTCCTAAAGAGATAAATTGATATTTCACCATGATTCGAAGAATATAATATGTGCCCATAAGAATTTGGCATTTAAAAAGCCAATAGTTCCACATTTGAAAAGCAAATCTTTCAAATTCAGGAAACGCATTCCAGATGTCATTGAAACTTTGGAGTTTGGAGTGTTTGTTTTTAAACAAAGCCTTTTGTTTTGTTGATTTTATCTTTCCAATGCACTTTGGGGAAAACTTCCCATTATATTATCAAAGCAACTTTCACTTCACTAATCAGATGTTTAGAAAAATATACCCAACCACATATCTCATTGATACCAACTCACTTTTACCAAGTTAACTTTATAAAATATAACTTCAGTAAAAAGAACTTTTAGCATGCCAAGATCCAAACACTAACTCACTAATAAAACTTCAGGTTACGCTATATTGTAGCTGAATATGGGAAAGACAAACTAAAGCCCTTCAAAACACTATTGCAAAGAGTGACTTAGCTTGAAGCTGTCACAAGATGAATAAAATGAGTGAGGAAAAGTAAACCACCTACAAATTAACTCCTGATGAATCTGATTAGCACAAGCCACCAATCAGTCCTTGAACATCAGCATCCATTAGTACTTTAGCAGATTCTCAGTAAAGTTGCTGCAACTGCGTCTTTCTTGACTCAGAATTTCGTTCAAAAGAGAAGTTTTACATAATCAATCTCGATAAGCAGAAACTCTCCCTCAGGCCGAATATAATTGATGTAATAGAAAAGTGCACACATATTAAGAAACCATAGGAAATGCCTTTTCTACCCTTATTCAAATTTAATATTCAATGCATTACATTTCTTTGTAAAGTACAAAACATTTAATGTAGGAAGAATTACTATACTTCACTAACTGATTTTAGACCATTTCCATGGGAAGGCATGTCCCTTCTTTTTGTCTTGGAATTGCAGGCTTGCAGCCCTCTGCACTGCATAAAACCATTGCATCAGATTATGCACCCAATAGCATTTAAACTAAGTCACCTAATAAACCTAATCCCAACCTCTAGTAACCCATCTGTACCCTTGTTGACCGCTCAGAAGTTTCAAAAAGTGGACTTTCTAGAGATCCCCAACGTCCAACCCTGGCATAGCAGAAAATCTCTGAGCGGAACACTGTCGGTGCATGAATTTACGATTATTTCGGAGATATCTCTTATCATATAACGGAAGTTGAGATTTCTGATTTAATGATAGTATATATAACACCCCGACCCCACCGGACCCGTGAGACTCGAGGTAGTTACTCCGGACCAATAGTACTGTCCTCACAAACCGCCACTAGCCTTTTACGCGCACTTTGTCCTCACTCGTGCGCGCCCTGAGAAACTTCCCAGGGGGTCACCCATCCCAAGACTACTCCCGTGCAAGCACGCTTAACTTTGGAGTTCTTGGCTAATGAGCTCCCTTAAAAGGAGATGCACCTTGTTGGTATGAGTAGTACTATTAATCCATTTATATTAAATCTCAAGTGTTACATGCAAGCTCCCTTGTAGGTGAAAGTATTAATACTTGAACCCTGAAAAGAAATAGTTATACATGTACTTGAAAAAGATTTGGAAAGGTTGCTTTAGATCATCATTCCAGATTCTTTCATTCTTTCCTTTTCATATGTCCCAGAATAAAGCAAAGAATTCACGTTTCATGGTAATTCTCCCTCCTCTCTACAACTAGAGGCCAAACAATTTTCACTTTCTTAAATTATGTGCATAGTCAAAAGAAAAGATAATACTAGGAAGGAGGGAGTATATAATATGGAGTGTTCCTTGGTCTAATTTTTGTGGATACCAGCTAATTGTGTGTCAGGGTCAGTGGCGGAACCAGGACTCGTGACCCGCAGGGGCACAATAAGGAGCCGACTGACGCCCTTTATGATGTCATTATTTATTTCAACATTTTTTTGATCAACTTCCAACAACTCATTTTATCATTGAGCCGGATAACTTGCAGGTATGTGCTGCTCTTCGAGGAGAGATATTGCACCATTAGACCCATGGAAAAAGCTGCACACGAATAAGAAGCCAATACTACTTCAAACGTTTTGTTTTCAGATCTAACAATGCTAGTGTTAATCGGGTGGCTGAATGCCCTGAATATATTGCTTTTAATAAAGTTAGAATTAGTCGATCTCAAACGCATTGCAACCAGTTGGTCATCATCCTTAAATATGATGCCATTAGCTACCCTTATCTCTAATTTTTACTATCACTTATTATGCACATTTTTTCTGCTACTTTTTGTGTGTTCAAAATAGTTTCATGACGATTTTTATTTTGTAATGGCCAGATCCCTACCTGTAAATGCAGCAAGTTAAAGGCCATATCAAGGCTCTAAATGCAGCAAGTTAAAACTGTAAATG